CCTAAATTCTAACAAAAACGACGATATCGAGCCGAAAAAAATGAAATACTTAGCGCGTTTAATTCAGTTACCTTTACGTCGCCTCGCGAATCGAAACCATCCAGCTGATTCAAAAGCTCCAGCATGGTCCTTTGAATTTCGCGCTCTCCTCCTGAGTTTGAGTCGTACCGCTTCGTGCCGACCTGCAAAATTGCGATTAATTAAACCGGCAACTTACTAATCCTCAATGGATGTATAGAGTAACCAACCGCATCGATTTCATCAATGAAGACGATGGACGGTGCATGTTCTTCAGCCACTCGGAACAACTCGCGAACCAGCTTGGGGCCATCGCCCAAATACTTCTGTATCAACTCAGATCCAACCACTCTTAAGAAGGTCGCTGACGTCTGGTTGGCCACGGCTTTAGCTAGTAGGGTTTTGCCAGTTCCAGGTGGTCCGTAAAGAATCACGCCCTTCGGCGGCTTTATGCCTGCAATTGAGTGGGAATGTGAAAAAACGTATTTTCAGACGTGCATGTTTGATCCTACCCATCTCCTCGTAATACTCTGGATGGGTCAACGGCAGCTCAACAGACTCCTTGATTTCCTGAATTTGGGTATCCAACCCCCCGATATCTGCGTAGGTTTCCTGGGGGGCTTTTTCTAGTTTCATCACAGTCACCATAGGGTCGGTGTCATCGCCTAAAAGATTGGGGCCCTGAGCGGCTGATGTTCACTTTTTCGGCGCCATTTACCTAACACTCCCACCACAGCGTGCACCTTATGGTTCAGCAATACTGAACATCCAGGCTCCAGCTGGTCCTTGTCCACAAAGGACAGGATGCTGACGTAGTGCTCACTGCCCACCGATGTGGACACAATCGCATGATTGTCATCGATGATTTCCTCCAGGTTGCCCACTGACATGGGGGTTCCTCTCAGATCATCCACCTTAGATCGCTCCTCCTCGTTCTTCTCCTCCTGGGGCTTGAGTCGCTCCTGGTTGCGAATGAACTCTTCCTCCATTAGTAAGTAGTCCTTGATTCTTTCCATTTTCAGCAGCTTCAGCCTGCACCTGGTGTGAGGGGTGACTGCAGGCAGCTTCAGCGCGGTATCGGGACCCTTAGTGCGGCGCTTCTTCTTGCCCACACGGGTGGGAATTGGGGGCTCATACTTTTTCTTTTTGTCCTTTTCCTCTTTCTTGTCACCTCCACTGCCGCCTGACTGGCTTTGACCCTGCAAAGAAACACGTCCAGGAAGGTTCATTAACGCTGAAAATCCTCCATTGTCTTACCATTTTCACTGATTAAACTTCACTGTTTCACTAAGTTTCCTCGGGAGTTTTTACAAGTCATCGACAAAACATTGGAATCACTGACTTTGACGGCTAGGTTTGGGTTAGGATGCAAATTGAACCATCGCTTCGAACATTCAACATAACCCCGGTTTTTAGTGGCTACGTAGTTATTTGCAGCGCTCTTACGGCCGGAGCGACCAAACTTTCAATTTAGCGCCATATTCAATTTTCTTTTACACTTTTTTCAAGTTTTTAACGTGTTTAGCAGGTAGACCTACCGTCAAAACGGTAGAACTGGCAAGCCTGGACATAACTTCTTCGATCAGCCGACAGACGCGACAACAGCGCGCTCACGGTCTGTCATTACAAGAGAGTCCTCCGGCCAGGATGCCAGGTCTACCGATTTTTCGGTAGATCTACCGATTTGTCAAGGAACCTACCATCTACCGATACCATGCAGATTTCTACCGAAAAATAACAAATTAAATTTAAAAAATTATCCGTGGATTACTTAAAATAATATAACATATTCATTCATGATCAAAGTACGTTGGTAATAGCAGACATTTTATTTGAAAGTTCTTTTTCAAACTTGAAAATGAAGAAATTAAAAATATTGAAGAGTTTTGGAGCCAAGTACAAATATTGAAATATGGAGGTGATACATTCATGTTTCCAATTTTAACCAATTTTATTTGTAACCTGCTTATTGTACCTCACTCATCAGCCAATGTTGAACGGATATTTTCCCAGGTTAATCTAATGAAAACTAAGTTGAGAAATAAGCTAAAAACGAGTACAATTTCATCTTTACTTCACACCAAAAGATATATTGGTAGCGACAATTGTCATAGTTTTGAAATTGAAGATAAGTTTGTGTTATCTATGAGCGATAAAATTTTATATAAGGATTATTTGGAAGACAATAATTGAAGCGATATTTTTATTTAAAATAAGTTGGTAAAATTCGATAAAGCCCTTAATAATGAAAGAAAAATGAATCTACCGATTTTCTACCGAAAAGTGTCGAGCTTATCTAACGAAACTCGATTTTCGGACCTGGCAACCCTGCCTGCGGCACAGATTATCAAACTATTCCTCAGGTCCTGTGTAGACGTCAGTTTTGTATTATGTCAGTAGCAGAGACGTATTAGTTTAAAATATAAATTCCTTAATTATTGTGATTAAGTGATTTAGTTGGAAAGTGATAGGCGAATCATGGCTAACAATCAGCAGGTCGTGAGCAGCCTGAAGGTTATATTGGGCAGCAATGTAGAGTCAAATATAATTGCGTGAGTTTTACACGGTTTCCCCAAAGGATTTTCCTCAAAAACAAGCCAGATGGTGGATACAAGAGCGATTTTACAGGGCCATTCTCTTAACGTTTGAAATTTTCGATGTAATGTCTGTTTCACACCTTCAATCATCTAAAACAATCAATTTTCTCCACTTAGATACATCTGCTCGATAAAGAACGAAGAAGATTTTGAAGAATTCATGCACAATATTGTCAACAAGCAAGAGCCCGCCCATGTGAATGCATACAATGCAATAAAAAATGCAATTTTCGGCGGTAAAAGTAAAACGTTAATGCAGAAGCAACAGGAAAACGCCAAGAAATCCGCAATTGCCAGTACAGTGGAGTCGAATGAAAAGGGCAAAACTCCCGCGCAAAGCGCCAGTGGGAGCAAGAAAGGCAAAAAGAAGTTCAGAGATATCAAGGAGTTTCAGGAAGAGAAAAAGGAGAAAGAAGGCCGACATGCCTGCGATTGCATGGGACAGGAACACGAGTTTATGAATAACTGTCTGCAATGTGGAAGGATCCATTGCTTCAAAGAAGGCCCTGGGCCCTGTCTGTTCTGCGGCAATCCAGTATGACCAACGCAGTTCACCACGCTCAGCCCCATTTATATAATCACACTTTCAGATATCAATCAGAGGTGAAATTCAAAGCAGCAGCAACGCCAAAGCGTTGGCCAAGTGAGTGCTTCTATCAGCGCTTTCTCCTGGTTCTTCACCGATTCTGTCTTCCTTCCAGGCCCAAATTGAACAAAGTCTTTGATGACGACAACGACTACTTCAAAATGAAGGGAAAAAAACTGGAGGGCAGCAAGCAAAAGATGGTGGTGGCTTTAGATTTCGCCAGTCGGCGAGTCATCGAAAGCACGCAGGAAGATATGAAGCTCAAGCAGCTTTTATTGGAAGACTCCATCCAGCATTTGAAACGTGTTGAGGAGGTGTACAGAAACATCCAGAAACGGGATCAGCGCTCTTTGCCAAAACACCATGTAGGAATTGTTCTTTATTATTATAAATATTTTGAGCCGCTGTAAAACATCACTTTTTTTCAGGACGGCAACGACGAGCTGGTGGATCTTCTGGTTCAAATGAGGCACAAAAAGCCCACAGAACGCGAAGATCTCGGGGAAGAAGACAGCGCGATGCCGCTGATCCGTTACAACACCAATATTCTGGATGAAGATCTCATTGCCACTGTAGATCAAGGGTTATGCATTAGTCTACACCAGCCATATGCCAGCTTGTTGGTTGCCGGCGTTAAAAGGCAGGCTTTCTTCATAGTTTATAACGCAACTCGTTAATAAGAACAATTTTTGTTTTAGACATGAGGGTCGGGTGTGGCCTACAACTCACCGCGGTCGCTTATGGATAGCCGCAGCTGCCAAGCAACCCGAAGAAGAGGAAATTGCGGCCCTGGAAAACTTCTACAGAGTCTTTTATAATGGTTAGTTCCGCATCACCGTTTTTTCTGCAGTTTCGGGAATTCGTTCCGTTTTTCAGATACAACTTTGAGATTTCCCCAAGAATATCCGACTGGTTGTCTCTTGGGGTGCGTGACTGTGGAAGATTGCTTGGACCAAGAAGCGTATAAGAAGCGATTCGGGGATAACGAAGAGTCCACTAGTCCATATGTGATGATTTGCAGCAATCCGGTCATTTTGCCCATCTTCTACCCCATTAGCGGAAAGCACAAAATTTGTAAGTAGGTTTCATCCAGATTTGTCTAATTTAAAATGCATCTAATTCTAGATCCGCTCGACGCTGAAATGCATAAGTGTGCAAAAATAGCCCTGCAGCACGCAAAGTATATTTAATACACACTAGTTAATTACTGCGTATACCTAAACTCCGTTTTAAAGCTCTAAGGGGATTGAAACAGTACCACGTATTGCAGAAGACAGCTATATGTTAGTATCTAAAGTCAATGTATGTGGCTAAATTTACAGCTTGTGGAGGTATGACTTAAATAATATCACATGAAAACATACTATTAAGTAATACTTAAGTAACGTTAAGCAGCACAAGTATTGCCATCAGGTGGAAAAGTTCATTTATTTGGTGAACACATTGCTCCTTTGGATATGTTCTTGAACCAGTTAAGTAGCGTATAAGCGATGAAAAACGAAAACTAAGCTCTCTTGTGGACGCGACATTAAGTGAGCGTATTGCCCTTGAGGGTCTAAAACCTCCTAAAATTAGCAAATTTCGAAGAAATTCTACTTGAACGTTTCAACATACACATACAGATCACAGCATTGGGAAAGGGTAAATTTATATACAAATCCTTCAATTAATACTAAGTATTGGCAGTTTGGAAAATCAATGTTCACATCGCCAGAAGACTCGATCGCTGCCTGCGTGCAGCTACTTCTAGCTACCAATTATTCAAATAAATACATAAATAGGTTCCTTTTCAATAAATCCTAACCATCTATATAAATTGGTCTTTGTCTCAGCGTTTGCCAATGTAAATTGCTGATCGAAATTGTCGCACCTTCCATCTGCATCCTTAATTGATAATCGGGCTACTTAAATATATTATACACCGATTGCTGTGGTCCTATTGTTGCCATGTCCATTTAATTCGGAATGTTCTGAAGATTCACTCGGCTCTTTCGACGCGAACAGAGTGGAAAAGAAGCGTGCCTGAAAAAAACTCAACATGTATAGTTTGTTGTTAGCTAAGGTTTTTCATTTTTTAGTTAAAAGTGTGCAAAATCTACAGTCCCAAATGTCCCAAAGCTTCATGTAATCGATCCAGCAAAGATGTGCGATCAATCGGCAATGAACACGCTTAGTGTGTCCCGTACATGGCAATAAATCGCGCTCATTTCACGAAATTCGTCGTGTAAAGTCGTGTTTTACACCTCGTTGCTGTCTTCTTGGAACGATGGTGCATGCGATTAGTGCCTCAATTTATTGCTTTTGCGACGTTGGGATACGGAATCGTTCATATCGTTGGACCTGTTAAGTATTTTAATTAACAAGCCTGGCTGTTGGCTGATTTTCCTCAGAAAGAGCGGCACATTTGGAATTTGAAGCCGTCTGTTCCCATGCAGGAATCGCGCCTCTAATCAATCAATTAACTACCGCGAGGTAAAAATGAACCAGTCGCAGACTAGTTGAGTAAACACCTTATCACTTTTTGTGTTGTGGCGATAGCGATAAGAAGGCAAACAGAACAGCCGAGATTTAAAGATTAACTTGACGAATTGGGGAACAAGTTGCGTAGGTTGGCTGTGCTGTGTGATCAAGCAGTTATTAATTAGCACAAAGCTGAGTGTTAAGGACAATCCAGTTGAAAGGGCAATCGAACAATGTTCACAAAAACATTCAATTGCCCGTCCAATTGATATTCTAAACCTGATAATAAATACCTTATGAGTATCAAGTCAAACGCACCTAATGCATGATTGTGCTCAGTGTAATTTAGATCGGTATGTACGTGTCTCTTAATTTAACGTCGTCGGCCCGATATCGTGCAAAGTAAATGGCCTGCGAAATTACAAAATTGGTTAGCCACACTCCACAGATCATCCACCATGTAAAGAAACCGCTTGTTAGCTAGCTGCAGAAGAACATTCCTCCTTAGTCCGGGCTAGTTTGCTTCAATAGTTCATGCAACTGAAAGCAAGAGCGTGAGATGCGCTTCACTCACCACTATCCAAGCGATGATGGTGCCGAGCAGAAGACCGCTTAGCACATCGCTCCAATGATGCTTATAATCGGACACCCTGGTCATGGCAGTGAATACTGAAGAAAGCACAGCCAGGAACTGTAAAGTGTGCTTCAGGAGCGTCGATCCGTCCCAGGTCAACCGCTTCTGAACGTATATCTGAAGCATAACAGTTTCGGGATATTTAAACAGAACGCGCGAGTTCAAAGTGTTCATATGTTGGCAAAAATTAACAAAATTATTTTACGCCCCTGGAAGTGTCCCCTTAAATTCGAGGTTATGATTTTCGAATTTGGATCTGTCATTCAACGATTCCTGTCAAATTTGTCGTTTGTCCTTGTCTATCTTATTGTCACTTTGTGTATCCTTCCATTGCTACCGGATTTTTAAATAATTACGAAGCAACAGGTATTTGCGCAATGTCAGATTACCTTAAAAAACATTGTTGCCGTTTTTCTAATACCCTTTTTGCTGAAGGTGCACTTTATATCTGGCGGATTTCGGCGCTCTTTTTAATTTGCCCTTAAAGCACACTTAACTAAAGCACATTCAAAGAGAAAAAATGCGGATGGTCCATAAATTTGCAGAAAAAACACTTACAAACTGTTGAAAATGATGTGCAAAAGAACCGTCATTTATCGTTGAAAACGCGATTAAGAACTAATAATCGATGATTCGACACACAAAATTTGACCTATAATCCATTGCAATAAAGTTTTTGCAAAATTTTGAAACCTATTTCAAACCTCATAATGTCGTTGCACGTTAATAGTCAGATACCAGCTGATAAATTGGAC